CAAACTGATCGTTCAACAGGAATCCTGAAAGAAGTTTTCATTTTAACAGACAGGCTGGGGGTTGATCTCCTGGTGCATGCAACGGGGGGGAGGGTGGGCCTGGAATGCTAAAAACACCAGGACACACAGAGGCATGTAGTGTGACCCGACTGGAGCCTCTTTGAACTGGACCAAACACTGAAATGTCTGAAACACGCCGTCCTGGAATCAGTTAGTGTCATTGACGATGACGATCACCATGTGCTCCTCATCCAGACTACCCACAGTCCTCTTGGCCGCCTGCAGGAACTGCTGTGAGAACTCCCCTGGAGGGAAGGCGTACAGCATGGCGCCCGGACCGCTTTCCTTTGCGGCAGGCAGACTCACAACGCCGGCGGCCTCTTTGTTGCGCAGGTAGGTCACCAGGTGGCGGAGCAGACGGACCTGCAGCCCTGGCTCCAGCCCCGGGGGCTGGCGGTCCACAGGCCCCTGCAGGGCCAGAAGGATGGCGAAGCCGTCTGGGCGGCCGAGCTTGATGCGGCGCATCACCTCGTCGAGCCGCGCCTGGTCCATGCGCAGGCGCTGGGCGATCTTCAGCTGGCTGGGCTGGTTCTGAACCTGCAGCTTCAGGCTGTCCTTCATCACGGTGTGGAAGTACGCCACGCCGCCCTCCAGCAGGAACAGGTCCGTGGGGAAGCTGCTGTTCTTTAGGGCGAAGAATCCACGCCACAGCCTGGAGAGCGTGCTCTGAGCGAACTCTGACAGCGTGCTGGGAGACGTGGGCGTGTCCGTTTGGGCGGTGGGGGAGCCGGCGGCGACCACCTCGCTGGTTCGGTGGTGGTGGTTGTTCAGGTGGTCGCTGGAAGATCGCTTGCTGTGGTGGCGGCTGGCTGACGGCTCGTCTTCGTTGGTGGCAGAGTGTCGTCCTGCGCCGCTGTCGGGGGAGTGGTCTCTGGGCTCTGTGGTCGAGTCAGGTGCTCGGACCCGGGCTCGGTCGGGGCTTGCATCGGGGGAGAGAACCCCCCCTGGACCACGCACCCTGGCTCTCCCCCTCTCCTTCTCCTCCGCCGGCCTCTCCGCAGACAGACTCCTGCTCTTCCTCCTCCTCTCCTCCCGCTCCTTCAGCCAGCGCTCCCTGCTCCTGCTGCGGCTCCTCGCCGCTCGCCCACTCCTCCCGAACGCCTCGACCCCCCCGGGCCTCCTCTCCAGGCTTCGCGTGGGGCTGCTGGGAAAGTCTCTCTCCAGCAGGCCCCTCTCTCTCTCCCTAAGGGAGAGGAGGCTGTGGGAGGGGGAAGAGCGCTCCCTGCCCACCCTGAGCTCTCGCTCCAGGCTGCGATGGCGACTGTAAGCCTCCCCTAGAAGGTCAAAGTGGGAGGAGAGAGGAACAGGAGGCTGGTAACCAGGAGGAAACGGGCGGGAGGGGCTCTCCTCAACTTTAGCAAAGTCCACCCTGAGACGGTGCTCCGGGCCCCCCAAAGGAAAGCCCCTCATCTGGGTACAGGCAGCCTGAGCAGCATCTAAGCTTTCATACTGGATGTAAGCAAAGTTGTCTCCTTTCACATAGTCGATGTTCCTGATGCTACCAAAGCGGTCAAACTCCCGGGCCAGGGCGGCGAGCGAGTTCCCGGGCCCCAGGCCGCCCACCCAGAGCCTGGTGGTGGGGTTCGCCTTGCCGTAGCCGATCTTTATGGGGTTCCCACCGATCAGCCGGCCTTGCATCGCCACCTTGGCCCGGTGGGCCATGTCCAGGTTCTGAAACTTCACAAAGGCGTATGCCCCACCCTGTCCACGGGCTGGACGTTTAATCACCACGTCCTCAATGATGCCATACTTATCAAACCCCCTCCTGAGCTCAACCTCTGTCACGTTCCCGTCTAGGTTCCCAATGAAGAGGTTGCTGGTGGCCCTCTGGTCGTCCTCGGGCTTTAAATCCTCCACCACCGGCATGGGCGGGAAGCCGTAGGGCCGCCCCCTCTCATCCAGCATGCCATAATAATCCAACAGCCGGTCCCGGTCCCTGCTCAGAGCCAGGCTCTCCAAGGCGTACTGTCGGGCCCTCAGCTCCCGGAGGCTGCTCACCGCCGGCCCGGGCGGGGACAGGGAGCGCTGCCTATAGGGGTAGGGCGCGTGCAGCGGCAAATATCCCGCATCCGGCGGAGTGACACTGCGCCTCCTCACGTACATGGGCTCTATTTTCAGCTGCCGCTCACCCAGAACCAGCCTGGAGGACTTGGCGTGCCTGGCCTCCTTGGCGTCCTCCGGGTGGCGAAAATTGACGTAGGCGATCCGGCCGAGCTCCGGGGTGTGCGACAGCTTCACGCTGACGTCCCCGAACTTTTTGAATTCGTGGAACAGCGCGTCCTCCACGTCCTCGTCCGACACCTGAGAGCCAAGGTTACTGATGAGCAGCGTCTTGTACTCTAAAGTCCCGGGTCTGGCGGCGGGCGGGTCGGTGGTGCGAAGCGGCGGGCGGCCGAGAAGGCTGAGCTCGTGTCGGTGGTGGAGCTCCAGGGCGGCCGCCCGCTCCTCTCTGAGCCGCGGCTTCTCTCGCTCCCTGCTGCGGCTGCGGCGGTGGTAGCTCCGACTCTCCGCCAGCAGAAGAGCCAAAGGCGGCGGCGGCAGCTCATCTCTACGGACGCTCTCCCGCTCTCTCTCCCGTATCCGCTTAGCGACAGCCCGGGACGGACTGCTCTCTCTCCCGGCCTGCCTTTTCATCTTTCACCGGAGGATGGAGCCCAAACTTTTCCGTGCCTGCAGCGGGAATTCGGCGCTTGGAGCTGGTTCCGGGAGGGTTCGTGGAGACGAGGCGGCAGCGGACGGCTTCACGGAGAGACGCGCTTCCAGGACGGCCGCTGATTTTTGGCACATTTATGATGAAAAAGGTTAAAAATGATGCTAAACATTTCAGCATCACAGTAGCTGCAATAAGGCCGCCATCTTGGACAATAGGAATGTGCGCGTTCCCTGAGGAGGACGGAGGGCGCGGTGACGCACACGCGAATGACGTCATGCCGTAGCACTATTTGATTCAGAACATTATTCTGTTGAGAAAAAACGGGACTTTTCAGTTTTTCTGATTGAATTTTAACATTATATATTTACAACTCGATCGCCTACAAATAAAATAGAAAAAAAACTTTTTCGGCTTGCAATCAAATTGGAATTTTAGATAATTTATTGTTTTGATTCACTGTGGCATCTGGTATTTATGTCACATTTGGTACTGTTTTTCTTCAAACAAGAGTATTTTATCATTTCTTATTATACTTTTATTGTTCTCTGTTAATGTCCCCCCTGGCATATGTTTTTGTTGTTTTGTGATATCTTCACAATGCAGTTTTGTATTGTTGTGTATGGTAAATAAGAAAGTTTATTTAAAAAAAAGGTGTCCAGCCTAAACTGGACACTTGTGGTCTTTGATATCTCAGACAGCTCTGCATCAAGAACTCACCATCATCATCATCAACTACATGGAGCAGGGATTTATTTTCTCAGCTATATGCTACAGTTACAATTCTTTGCTATCAGGAAGTCCAGAAGTTAAAAGCCAGCAGCTGATCAAAAATGTTGCAGCCAGAGTTCTGATATAGAAAAAGTTATTTCACTCTGACCGAAATGGTAATGAAATCTATAATCAAAAGAAATAGACCCAAAATGGGCCCTCCCTTAGATATCAACTCTGGAAAGGCTAATATACTGAAGTAGTTATAATAAATCCTTGACATGAATATACTGTATATATACATTTCTAGATCATTTTATAATTTTTATAGTATAATATGTGAACCATTAGATAATTGTGATGTCTATGTATTTAATGATACATTTACTCATTTTATTATGTATGTTGTGGTATGTATTTCATTCCTAGGTTAATGTACCCTAGGAATGAAATCATGATTAAATTAAAAAGTCTGATGTCAGTCATCCAGGTGAAGTCAGCTTATGTTGGCTGAGATGAACCATCACACTGTGGGAGTGTAAACCTCACCCATAAGTTTATTACTGAAACAAGACAAAAGAAGCAAGTAGCCATCAACCAATGTTAATTGATCCCAGGATGTATAATGATAAGGTCTGGCATGAGCAAAGCAAAGTTCCTCCTCTGAGATACCAGAGTTCCTGAATAAAGGTCCAGCAGAGGTTTTAGAGCAACATATGCCGCCTTCAGTATCATGTTTCCAGGAACAATCAGTGCTTTTAATTTTTTTTGGATCAAAGTAGGAAAACCACATTCCAAAGGCCTCGCTGAGGAACATGCAGGATACAGTCTGACTTTTCACCAATAAGGATTGAAGATGAAAAGGATGAGATGTTCATTTCAACTCTTCTTTGAAATTTGCTGTGCAAATAAACTGATTTTGTTTAGCCTGTAAACAGATTTTAGCAGTGGATTTTTTAATACCATGCTTTTCCAGACCGACCTTACTTGTATGGAGAGGGAACGATGGAAGGTGGAATGTGCTGTAGAGAAAAATTCTAAATAAACCAAAGCATAAATGTGTGCATTATTTTACAGCAGTGTGTTTACTAAATGTTCCCCTTACAGGTTTGTTTGACCTTCAAATATTTGTGGAATAAATTATAGCAGTAACTGAAAAATATATTCCTTAAGCTTTGTTTTTTTTTTAAAGGAACAGTTCCATGAAGGACTCGGCATTGGTTCACATATATGTTCCTAAAAAAGCAAGTTTCAACTGCAAACATCACAGAACATCAATCAGGTCCAGATTTAATATGAAGCCATCTGAGGTTCTGAGAGCAGAGCTGGATGCACTGGAAAAAAAAATCTAAATCTAGAGAAGTCATTTTTTCTTAGAATAAGTTAATTTCTTTTTGGATTGAGGAGGTAAAATATACATTTTGCCAATGGAACAAGACAATCTACACTTAAAATAAGAAAACACAATTGCATTGTCTTATTTGAGGTGCATATTAACTAATTATCTTATTTTAAGAATAAAAATACTCATTCCATTGGCAAATTATCCCATTTACCTGCTCAAATTAAGGGTAAATATACTTAAGAATTTTATACTTACGGTATTTCTAGATCGTTTTTCCAGTGTGTTCTTTATTAACAAAGTCCAAAACAAACTAAAAGTTTGGAAAAACCTTTAATAAATACAGAAGATGAACCAAAATATGATCAAACGTCAAAGAATTTCATCTTAAAAGTCGGGTCGAAGAAAAAACTGTAAATATAATTCCCTCTAAATCCGATCCTAGGTCTCTACTTTTATCCTCAGGTCTGTTTCTTGTCCTTTACGGACGGGATAGGATAGGATCCGTCCTCGGTTGATCCAGGCTCACACCTGTACCTGGGTCAGGTCAATTTCAAACTGGGATCTAATGGAACCCCTTAGGAGAACCATCTCTGAGGGTTTAAGGCCAAATTCCAAACCGCCCTCTAAGCACTAACCCCTAACTACCAGTTTCCCTCCCAATAGTCACACTCAGCTGAGGGGGTACCAACGAGGATGGATTGATGCAGACTCGCTATTTAGCGCTGAACGCTCCACTCGCCCGACCCACTAGGTGGTTTGGGACGGTTGTGTGTGGCGGACCCTCCGTGGGAATGCTGGAATGGAGGGTTGGAGCTCAGGGGCCGGTTTGGGATTAGGACTACAAGCATCACTTTATGTTTTCATTGCTTCCTGTCCGTTTATTTTAGTTTTGACCTTTAAAAACAAAAGAAAGATTCTGGGATTTAGTGACGTTGGCAGTGATACTGGTTTTAATCCAGGAACCGTTCTTAAAAGAGAGCAACTCTGATGAAACGGAAGAAAACAGATAGTGACTGGATTGTGACTCGTTACGTAAACAGGAACAGAAACATCAGAGTTAAACAGTCTAACTCGTCCTGATAAAAGCAGAGACAAAGTTTTCTTTAAATCAGGTGTGGAGCAGAGCAGCCAAGGGGTTTCAAATTGGGCTGCAATGCTGTAAATCGTCGAGAGAGGGAGCCGCTGAGCAGCTGGGTAACAGGAGAAATCTCACTTCTGTCGGGATCATTTGTTTAAGGCCATTTCTTAGCTGAATGGACTCCATCCTAAACTCTAAAAGTTTATTATTTTGGTTTTGCTGACTGATTACTCCACAGCAGCCTGGCGTTCTGCTGGTTGGGGACATTTTGGGACGCAGCTTTAGATGTTTATTGTGAAATGATTTGAACGAAGGAGCAGGGATGCTGCACCTGCTGCCAGCTTTATTTTACAGTACAGTAGAAACCCTCAGCCTGCTGTGCAGTTTAGCACATGAGTGCACACCAGAATAAGACATGACAAAACTCCCGTTCTTCCTCCTCACAGGATTTTTCCAGTCTGTGCAGAGTCCGCCGCCGTGTCCTTACAGATCTGTCCGTGCCTTGGCGGCTGCAGGTGCGTACTTCGGCATGAGCTCGGTTATTTTGCGGATGAAGTCGGACTTTTCGGCGCAGCCTTTGCAGGACTCGTCCCACTCTTCCAGGATCTTCTTCAGGTCCTTGACTTTGAGCTTCTTCAGGTCCACTGTGGTCAGGTCCAGCTGTTTGTCTGCAGGCGAGAGAAAGAGGAAAATGTTTTGGAACGCCAGCGGAGCCCAGCCGTCTCAGACTTTCCCCACGCCGGTTTGCTTTCTTACCGTATCGCAGCTCACAGATCTGACTGTCCTTCTTCTTGAGCTTCTCACAGATCTTCTCCACTGGGACGTGGTAGCTGAGGGGTTTGGACACCTCGTTTATCATCTTGGTGGCTGCATCACTCGTTGCTCCGATGTAGTAACACTGGACACATGGAGGAGGCAGAAAAGTTTAGATAAAGGTTAATGTTCTTGAACAGCTGAGGGGTCACTGGATGAATTTGTGCTTAGCCAGATAATAGAACCGCTCAGTTCTAAAAAAATCAGAGTCCTGATTTTGGGCTTTTAGTCCTAAATCCGATTGTGTCCTTCCTTCAAGACTGAAAATTAATTTTTTTTTTTTTTTTTTTTTTTACTTTTGGCTACTTTAGATTGCCAGTAAAATGTACAATAGCAAATATACGAAATAATATATATAATATAATATGTATAGACTCCAAACGAGATCTCATTCTTAAGAAACGGGTGCGATACAGTTTGTGCAAGAGGAGTTGCCATATTATGATGTCATAAAAAGGGGCAGGATCCCGAGCAGATCTGGTACCTACACCATCCTTCGCATGATAAAATCCCATCGCAACTGTAATTAGGCGACTGGTCACAAATTTAATTAACATTAAAGCTACACTTTTAAATTCATACTCAGCTGCTGCTTTTTCCGATTGATTGGAATTAGGAAGAGGAAATTAAGAACTTGTGCAACGTCCAGGAGACCTGAAATGTCAGAACTGGTTCCAACTGATTCTGTTCTCAGCCCTACGTGGAGCAGAAGCGAACGCTGCTCCTCAGAGCTGCTGCTGGAACTAAAGATGCCCGGATGGTGGAAGGAAAGTGACTATAGATGGGTCAGAGGGTGGAAACACAGGGACTCTTCCACTTTTATCTCTAAAGGATGAAAAAAGCTCCAGCTCAACCGAGTGAAATGATGACGGAGACGCCGTTTAATCCCCATTTTTATTCACTTCACTCTCAGCCATCATAGACAGGTTTGTGTCAGAGGCTCTAAATAAATCCTGGCCAGCAGGGCTTGGAAACATTCTTTGGGAAACTCCACATAAAAAAACTAAATCTGTTCTATTTCTTGCTCGGTTAAATGGATCCATATGGGTGATTAATTGATTATCGATTCACTTATTTTTTTTGTTTATGGCAGTTAAATTTCTCGAGTAATTTATTTCACCAGTCGATTCCCTGAGCTTCCATAGCTCAAAGTGACATTAGTTCATCACTTGTCTTAGATGTGTACTTAGAACTCACTGTGTGCTGCAACCAGCTGCCAACATTTAGTTTAGATTTTATTGGATCTTCTGAAAAAAATGATGCTTCACTGCTGGAATTAGGT